CTTATGACTTCAAAGTAGGCCCTTTGAGGAAGAAATATTTTGTGGTGAGAGATTCCATAATGTAATTTTAGTTTCTGTAAACCTGAGACAAAGATACTGAAATGGCATTTAATTTTGTCTCCCCCAAATTAACCTAATTCCCATACTCTCTTCTGTAATTTCCTTACTGCATCAGAATTCTGTGGGTCCAAAACAAATGAATTCAAAGTCAGAAGGTCATGTCCTCCAAAAACCTTTTCTTTTATCTCTAGAGAAATGACACCCAGTGAAACACACTGCTGATTTTAGAGCCTTTATCTCTCTGTAAACAGTTTGTAATATGAAAAGAGACATATTACTCTACTTGTTCTCAAAAGAAAAATAAATTTCGCATTTTTCTCATGCCTGGGATTCTCTTTTAGCTATTTTTTCCTCCTAATGACTTTCTCCTACACACACACATATATATATTAATTATTCTTCTTTCTTCCTTCTATATCTTCTCCGGATGTCTTGTCTATTTTCAATAGAGAAAAAAACTAAAGATCATTTGAAATGTTTTTTAATTGACAAACTGAAAAACAAAAGCAAAAACCATTTTTTTTGAGAAACTAGAGGCCAATTGAAACCATAAAGTTAGTCAGCCAATAGAATATAAAAGTCTTTCTGCAAATTATAATAAACCAGAGCTTCCATGTGTTGTACGTTAGATAACTCAAAGGCAGAGGGAGATGCACATATGCCATCTAGTTTGCACTTAAATGAAACATTATTAATAAGAGTCACAGCTGGTTGAAGGTGATGGAAGTAGTCCAGTGTCCCACAATTAAAATTTCCCCAAATCACTTGGTTCTTGGGAAAAGGTTTGGTTCATATGGAGTGCTGACTCTGAGGTCCTGCAAAAAGATTTACTTCTTAGGAAAAGCAAAATGAAGACTGTGTGCTTAAAAGGTGATTCTTGATGTATTGAAAATTTAATCTCCCTTATCTTTATTTTCTACACACATTAAAAAATTGGAGCAGACAACCTTGGTCTTTTAATTGTTTTAGAATTGTAGAGGAACCACAAATATAGAATAATATTATATGCTTAGTTTGTGTTTTATGTGATAAATTATAATGCAACATAAGTTAAATCAATCATGAAGTCCCCAAGAATTTTCACCTTATAAAAGTGGTCTGAATATTACTTAAATTTGAGAAAAATAAATGACTGTGGAGAGTGCCTCACTAGGGATATAGGTAAAATGCACTCAGTGTTACTAATTTTTTCACCTTTAAATTCTAGATGCTCTGATCAATGTGAAGTAGATGAAATTACTAATCTGAACATGTGAGATAAACTTTATTTTACTACAAAGAGCAGAGTAGCCTCTGCTTTGTCTGCTTTGGCATTCTCTGTAAAATTTTTTCTTCAATTTCTTCAATCAAAAATTGTAAACTAATCTAATATCCCATGCTGAATTGTTGCTTCTAGAAAATCTTGGTATTTCTGGGTTAGTATAAGTAGAAGAGAATAGAGAAATAACTATTTGTTTGGATTTTAAGTGTGTTCCAAAGGCTTGGTACCCAACTTAGTGCTATTGGGACGTGGTGGACTCTTTGAGAAGTGAGAACCAACAGGAGGTCTTCAGGTCAGTGGGGTCATGCCCTTGAAGGAAACCACATCCCTTTCCTCTTCCTGTATTTTGCTTTCTAGTCATGAGTAAGTGGTTTTGCTCTTCCATGCTCTCCCACATGATGTACTGCCTTGCCACAGGCCCTAAAACAAGAGAACCAAGAGATCACAGACTGACACCTCCAAAACTGAGTCAAAATAAGTTGATTATCTCAGGCATGGGTTATGGTGATTGAAAATCGGCTAACACATGTGTTGACTTCAAAAGTTTTACTTCTAGCTTATTTACCATCTAATGGCCAAGGATTCTTAAATTTGCTTGAGTGAAATCACTTCATCAGTGCTAAATCATTTGTGTAAGAACTAATCTCAATAAGATGGTTTTTGTCTCTCAATATACTACTGTGTAAAGACAGCATGTGAGATTTATTTTCCTGAATGAGACTAGAACAAAAGTGCCTTTTGAACCATGTTACATACAGTCTCTTCCTTTACTCTCATTTATTTACAATAAATCAGGAATTAAACTCCTCAGACTTGCTTTGAATATGGTGTTATGGTTTCTTTCCCTACAGTTCAATACAACAAATATCATTTTCACTTTTAGTAGCTAAAGGTTTAGTAGCTAGTAGGAGAAAAATGACAGCTAACATTTCATGAAATTATTGGCTTTGCATTTGAGAATGATCAGCTTTGAAAACTGACAAATCCAAGTGTTTTGCTACTCAAAGGGAAGGAGCCCTTTAGAATTTCTAAGCAATAAAAAAAAACAAAAACAAAAACAAACAAAAACCAAAACAAAACAAAACTTCAAATGGAATACCTTGAGATAATTCTATGACAAGAACACCAAAATTATACAGGCGAATTGTTCATTCTCACAACCATATATTTATCCTACGCCATCTGATCACCAATCAGGTGTGAAGAATTTTGCTAGACTCTTAAAGTGAAAGGGTGATTTGGCCCCGCTATCATGGAGTTTATGCTTTAAGTGGGAAGAGAGACATTGAGAAATTACATAAGTCATTATAAAACCATCTAGCTAGAAAGTATGACAAATATTACGAAGCAAAATTAGTGAGGATGTACCACAATGGGTTCATTATAATTTGTAGGAGAGTTAATGTACTACTCACAGATACACTGAACTGTTTATAAAGACAAAGCTTGAGCAGAAATATCATGCTTTTGTTTTGGTAATCCATGTTTGAGACAAGCAAACAAGGAAGATAAGCAAACACTTGGATATACAAAGAAGCCTGTATTGAACATATAAATTTAAGAATCCTTGGCTGAGCTGGGCATGCCTGTAATCTTAGTGGCTCAGGAGGCTAAGCTAGGAGGATCGAGGGTTCAAAACCAGCTTCAGTAACAGCAAGGTACTAAGCAACTTAGTGAGATCCTATCTCTAAAAATAGAGCTGGGGATGAGGCTCAGTAGTTGAGTGCCAAGTTCAAATCCCGGTACCACACACGCACACACACAAAAAGAAATCCTTGGCAGTTAGATGGTAAACTGGAAGTGACAATTTAGATGGAGCACTTAAAACAGAAGTGCATTCATAGTTGTGTCTTGAGGAATTTCAGCATTTAAAGTTTGGAGAGAGGAGGTAAACCGGCAAAGAAGACAGAAAAATTGACTGATAATGAAGGCAGATCTACATGGAAACTAATGAAACTTCATATTCTAGATCCTTCTCTTGCTTGGCAGGAGCCCCAGCAATGTGTTTACATGTTGATGTATTATATAAAAATTTCAAAAGATATTTCTGTTATAACTATCAAGGCCTACATATCTGCCCCTAAGAGGAAGAAGCAAAACCAAAAAAAGTTTGATTGAACAAAAGTAGAGGTGGGATAGGGTAGGGAGGTGTAGAGGTAGGGACTCCAAAAGGAGGGTGTTAAACAGCTGTGAAAGTATGAGAGGTCAAGGAATATGAGAAAATAAATATATCCATTAGATTTAGGTAGCAGAAGGCCATCAGCATCCATAGCAAGAGCCCTATCAGTGCAGTGATGATAAAGGAAAACAGGATCTCCTTAGCTGATAAATTTGAGAAATTTAGCTGTAAAGGGAGAGTGAAAAAGGTGGAGAGCGATGAGCTGTGAAGGAGGGTCCAGTCCGTCTCTTTCCTTCTAAGGTGGGGAGACTTGAGAATGATGATGGAAAGATTACACAAGATTGAGATGTGTTGAAGATATAAGGGAAAAAGATAGTTATTCTCACTAACTACATTTTCAAGGGATCCATAGGTGATGAATGTCCAAGGACTTTGAAGAAATTCAGTCAAGAGTTTTCATTTCCTTGGTGGGCAACTCTACACTGATTCATGTTTGTGAAAATATAAGGGACCTTGGGCTGATGCACTATCTCCACCCAGGGCAAGCAGCTAACTCTATACTCCACTCTCAGCAGCAAGTAATTTATGTATTTTTGCAGCTTGCTCAAAATATCCATTTATAAGCTCAAGTCAACTTCCCTCTGAAGCGCTGTATATTTTATAAACTGTCATTCTCTTTAAATATCTGATGAATGTTGCAGACATGCAAATTGATTTTTTTAGTAGCCAAAACAAAATTACAAGTCTGCCAAGAAAGAATAATACTTTTACTCAAGTTGAAAGACATTCTTGGGCTTCTGAGTATCTTTTGATTGTATATTCTAATATTAGATACATGTCATGAAAAACAGTAACTTTCTTGAACAGAAAAAAAACTTGTGGGATACAAAAATTGAAGATATCAGAAAAACAATTTTAAATGGCACAACATAGAAATGAAAGTCTATTCTTCCCAGTACTATGCGATTCTGAACATTTCTTAATATTTTCTGTTTCTGTCTTTTAATTGGATCATCAAACTAAGAATGCATACTGACCTGCTAGAAGTTATTCACAAAGTGAGACTACTGTCCTCAATCCTGTTTCTCACCATCCTATATATCAATATGCTACTCATGCAGAAGGCATCCACAGTCCACAACAATAAAAACCTGAAAGACTAGTTACTAGAGGCCACAAGTACAAATACGTTGTTAAATTCAGTAAACAAACAAAAAAGGACTCCCTTTAAATGTGAATTTTAGATAAACAATGAACAGTTTTTTTTAGTGTAAGTATGTCCCAAATGTTGCATGGTATACTTGTACTAAAGAAAATCATTTAAAAGAAAAAATCTGAAATTCACATTTATCCGGGCGCCGGGTATTTTATCTGACAACCTCTCTGTCACAGGTACCCCAGACCAAAGGCCCTGGAGTTGGTTTAAAACCCAGGACGGGCAGGAAAGGCTGAGCCCCCTGATTGGCCAAGGCGCGCCCGCCGCCCCGCGGGTCGCAGGCGTCACCGCTCTCCGGCAGCCCGGGCCCCGCCGCCACCGCCTCCACCGCAGCCCCGGTCGGCGCAAGTGCGGCGCACGCTGGGGGAGGGGGAGCGACAGAGCGCGAGGCTGGCGTCGGGCCGCCGGCTGCCGGCCGGGCGAGATTAAGTTTCTCGGTCACGCGTGAGTGTCTGTGCGCGTTTCTCCCCGGAGCTGCTCGCCGCGCCGTTACTTCACAAGAGGAGAGAGCAGCGTGGGCGAGGCGAGGCAAGGCTCCTCTAGTCCCTGGCGACCCCAGTTCTCCAGCCCTCCGCCTCCGTCCCCGCCCGGGGCGGCCGCTGCGAGCCGGGTAAGCGGCGCCTGGCCCGGGCCCGGAGGCCGGAGCGCGCCCCCGCGTCCTGCGCGCGCTCCGGCCGGGAAAGTGCGCGGCGCTAAGGGTTCGGCGCGCGGCGGCGGCTGGCCGGGTGCGCTTGCTCCACCCCGCGCGGCCCGACCTCTCGGTGGAGCCACGGTCTTCTGGTTTTCTAAAGCGATGGAGTCTGGAAGTTTCCTTTGCTTCTCTACTCCCCCACCCCAACCCGCCCCCTTTTTGCACATACTCTAAATGGTTTAAAAGTTTTTTTCTTCCCCTCGCCTGGAGAGGTATAGTAGTGGTGCCAAGAAGGGGGAACCCCGGGGCCTGGAGCGCGGGCCGGGCCCTCCGGGGTGTGGGAGCCTGTTGCTTTCCGCTGCGTGTCGGCGCCGGGAGCTGAACGACCCCCCGCCCCCCCCCCCCCGCACCCCCCAGTTACGCAGTGCCAGGTTTTGCTGGATGGGAGTAAGGGGTGGGGTAATGCTCTGTACTGTCGTCTCTAGCCTTAGAGTGGGGGTCCCCGAGGCGAGCCGCTAATTGGTACTCGTTCCTCCCGACTCTCAGTGGCGCCCTTGCCCTTTCATCCGCTGTTCCCGTTTGTGGGGGCTTTCTCCCCCTGCCGCCGCCTCTTTTTACTCGTTGACTGGCCTCTGTGCTTAGGGGGTTCATTGTCTTCAGTTTCGCGGCCCTGAGATGCTGGATGTTCCTAGGGAAGCACTGCCTGGGAGACGCTTTGTGTTTCAGGGAGTTGTGCTTGTGTATGGGGTGGTGATGGTGTAAATTTTTGCTTGCATTCTTTGCAGAGGCACAAAGGCCGAGGTATTCTTCCCGGGGATCACATGGAAATTCAAGCTGGAGTAGTGGGGAGGAGGTGGGGCCGGGAGAAGGCAGCCACTACGCTGGGGATTTGAGACAAATAGAGGGTGTCGGACATCGTGTTCCTTCTCCGCAGGCCTGACTGCGGAGGTTGCACTGATAGGGAAGACCCGGACAGTGAGTGCTGGGTGCCTTTGTGCGGAGGCGGTTGCGGGTGGAGGTATAGTGTTTCCTGTGTATCATCAGATAAGAGGACCGTGACTTCACCAGCCTCGGAGGAAAGAAAACCTGTCCCTGTTCTTTTATGTCCGGAGGGGAAGAATCTGGAAAGTAACCAGATCCCGCCTCATCCTGCATTGATAGACAGCTGTGCTGTAAACATCCTCTTAGTGTTTCCGTGGATTTTCTTCATTTAGGTTGCCTTTTATAAATGACAGTTAACTAACAAGGTGATGGTTCTAGGGGCTTGGAAGTTTTTACCTGTTGAATGTGATTGTAGGTGATTACAATGAACTTTTTGTGAGGGTCGAATCATTTAAATTTGTATAAGATATGCTTTAATGTCTGATAGAATTTAGGTAAATAGTTGCATTTAAAACTAACCAAGCCAGGCATGCAGTACGATGGTGCAGGCCGTACTCCCAGTGACTGGTGAAGTCTAGACAGTGGGATTGCAAGTTCAAGGTCAACCTTGGCAATTCAGAATTAAAAAAAAATAAAATAAAACAAAATAAAAAAGCGCTGGGAATATAACTCTGGAGATGTAGCCCGCGGATCCCAGCCCCAGTGCTACCCAAAATTAAGCAAATAAACAATAAACTCTTAACAAAGAGACTTGAACTTCAAATATAATCCAGAACTCTGGATTAATGCATCTGTGCCCTTGAGTGTCATATAGTTTGGGGTACCCCTCAACTCTTCTCTAGTTCTTCTCTCTGCTTCATTTGCTAAAATAAACAAAAACTAATAATTCTTAACATTTTACTAATAGATCATATGTGTATCATGTCTCTTACATATGTTCCTTTTTCTCCTTGACTTCTTTCTGTATTTCTTTTCACTTCCCCTCACTTGCTTCTTTTTTTTTTTTCTCCCTTTCCTTCACTCCTTCTTTCTTTTATCATTTCTATCACATAGATTTGGCTCTGCTGGGTTTTTAAGGGTGTCTGTGTATTTCACATGCCTTTTAAATATAGGTGAAACTTTTGACATTTAATTTTGCATTGACTTAACCCTGATTGACACTTCCAGCCTGTAGCTGATTGGGTGGGGAAGCTCTGATTTACTTATGTGGAAGAAGTGGACCCATTGTCTTGAATTAAGATTAAGAGCTTTTAGAAGCTCATTAAGAACAACGAATGGCTTGGAGGGAACTATCCTGAGTTAGAAATCCATATTTTCTCTACATTACATCCCAAATCTTATCATAGGCTTGACTCTTTCAAGTTGAATTGCAGGTCAGTTCCATTCATTGGATATTGGACTGGATGTACTCAAATACAGTATGTTACAGCAAACAGTAGAGATCTTGTACTTCAAAGTGAAGAAGCAGATGACTTCCTAGTGAATTCAAGATTGCTTAATGGTGTAGGTGAATAATGATATATTCCCCAGTTACATGTGCTTTTAAAAGATATCTGTCCTGAAGTAGAATTGCATATGATAATAGTTAAATTGTTTCATACATTATCAACTTCATACTTATAACAAGAAATATTATTTTCTCTTATGAATTAGTATTGTGCATTGGAGAGCATTTACATATAGTTGGGAAATGATGTTTAGTATGGTAAAACCACAGTGTTGCAATTAAATAGTTTTAGTGGCGTTCCATGGGTGGGAAAATGAATAAGGTGAAAAAGAAACCACTTTGGATAATCAGTGCTAAGAGTCTGTTCCCTTCCTGTGAAATATTTCCAGAGAAGGAATGAGGTAATTATTTGTTTAGTAGGCAATAATAAATGGATTAGGAGGTATGTAGCATTGGATTAGACACTGTGGAGAACGCAGAATATAAGATACTGCTCTGGAAATTTACTGTCTTTGAAAAATAGACAAATGAGAAAGAATAAAAAGGTTTTACATGAGCAAAAGTTACAAAGTTTCTAAGTAGTTCAACATAGGGTTGCTAGCTGGCCTCATTGAGGTTCTTATGAAACAAAGGGGACTTCTGTCTTCAAATAAGAGTGGGAAAGTGAAGGTTTTTATTTTATTTCTTTTTGTTGTTGTTTTTGTTTTTGGTATGAAGTATAGCTTACATCTAGTTTTTGCATTGAGAAGTGGTTATGGTATTGGGAAAGAGGTGGGGAAGTAGGTAGGCAGCAAGAATTGGAGTAGATTTCCATTTGGATCTTTCTATAGTGGAAATGAAGGTTTGTGCCAAGGGAAGAAATTTGGCTGGGAAAGGACAATTGATGAACAGCTGTGAGGTATAGACTGAGTTTTGTTTTTATCCTTTTGGATCTGCCCATTCCAGTGTTTCTTAGTTCTGTGGAATACCTTTAACATCCTATTTCTGCCAATAGTCATTTCAAGAAAATCTACCCCTTTGCTAGGTTGCCCCTAAAAACTCTTAACAGCTTCTGTTGCCCAGTTCCAAAGCAATTTTCACATTTTTCTAGGTATTATAACAGCACCCCATTTCTTGGTACCGCACTATTTCCTGGTACCAGAATCTGTTAGAGCTAGCTACCATAGAGTAGGTAGATGGCTGAAACAACAAATTTGTTTCCTTACAATTCTGGGGCTGGAAATCTAAACCAAGGATTGGTTCCTCCGGAGCCTCTCTCATTGGCTTGTGAATGTCTGTCTCTCTCCAAGTCTTCACATGGACTTTCTTTTGTGTATGTGTGGGGCCTAATCTGTTCTTATTAGTCATATTGGATTAGGAGTCACCCCAAGGACCTCATTTAACCTTTAGTACTTATTTAAAGACCTTGCTTCCAAATGTAGTAACATTTTGAGGTATTGGGAATTAGGACTTCATGAGTTTGGGGGGATTTAGTGGACACACAACTGACTGGCAGCAAAGTTCCTAAAGAGAACAAGGCTGTAAATTGTCTAGACCCCGAAGAAAGGATTGGCTCAGGGTAAGGGAGGGCGATCATGGAGAAGGCTATTATGGTAGTCTAAACAGTATTGTGGTAATTTGATGCTTGGAAAGAAAGGGAAACTTCTATTTGAGGAAAAAGATATTGTATCTTTGGCTTGAGCCACTTGTTTTCTTTATCTAGGTGTCTCCTGGGAAATTGTGCATTAGTTTTCTAGTGTTTTATAGAAAGCATTCATTTCTTAAAATACTTCTTATTTCTTAAAAATTATAAAATGTTGAATTAGTTAAAGATGAAATATCAGTATTTTGAAAATCTCAATGTTTTCTGTGCCAGATTAAAACAATATTGTCCCTAATATTGATTAAAAACTATGTCCCATGCCTGATTTGGGGTCCTAATATTTGGTATATCCCCACACCCCCGGAAATTTATTCACCTTTTTGGAAAAATATAAGATTCAAAAGGCAGTTTATATATCATAGAAAATAACAAAAACTTTTAAGGTGTTTAAATTATATTTGATGAATTGGGAAAATGTTAAAGCTGTTCCTCCAATGGTGGCTGAATTAAAAAAAATAAATAAAAGGAAACTAAAATTCTTGCTTTCTTTTTTTCTTCCTGTCTGCCTGTGGCAGTTGAATTTTCTTGTTTAAGGAATTCTTGTATTATTGTCTTTTTAGTTTCATTTGTATCTCTAAAAGCAACAGTCCTTGTTAGTTTTCTTATAAAACATTTTACCTCCAGATCTGCCATGCTGTAAATAAATGCATGATGGAAAAGTGAGAAAAGAAACATTTGTAAGAAAGATGAAAAACAGAAACATCAACTAAACACACAAATCTTAAAAACCTATTTAGGTTGTGTTGGCGGTTTAATGTCAGTAGTTGGAGTAGGTATGGGATAATTTACCATTTACTCTATTGTTTACATTTTAAAACCACATTGATGATAAAATATGTAAGATAATTGTTTCTTTTTAGTAATTCTTTGATGATAAAACTAGCATATTTTAAACATATGAAAGATAGACAAGTATAAAGAAGACAGACACAAAAATATTTCCTGTAATTCTGTCACCCAGATGCTGTTTCCAAAAAAATCTCCATATATTTTGGGAATGAGGATGTG